AATACAGAGATCTGGCTCAAGTCTTTCAGCCCAAGGACCTCCACCTGCCCCATCAGCAAATTAACGCAACATGTCACCACATTGACTGCAACTCCAGGGCCCATGGTGTGGTGGCAATTCATTAACATGCCTGACTTCATGCAGCCAGGTTATCAGAGGAAGTTCATCCCCAGACTGAAGACCTGTCATTTGATGGGGAAATCCTCTTCAGCACCAAAATGGACAAAAGGCGTGACACCATTGAGGAAGCTAGGATGTTGGCAAGGAGATGGAGTTCCCCCAACCAGAGTAGCGGGCATGTAAGGGCCTCCCTATGCTGCATGCCAGCCATGTAGATGGTATGCCCATCCCCTGTGACAACAGTTGCCCACCCAATCCAGCAGGAGGGAGGCCACTAGCCAGTTTCAACAGTCCAAAAGGAGACTGGACATGGACAAAAGACAGCACTGATTAGTGTGGCCAACCAGTTCCCCTCCTTCTGTATGGTTCAATGGACACCTATCTTCATATTTATCTTCCCATCTCCACCTACCTTCCTGCTTGGGAACCATAACATTGGTTAGGTAGTTCTTCTCCATCATGGAGAGAGGATACCAAATAGAATTTGACACCCTGCCACCTCAAGGTTCTGTGTGGATCACTATTCCCCATCCTAGCACCAGAGGTAGCTACAGTGCTATCAAAAGGGGCTATCCAACCAGTTCTTGCATCTAACCTTTGACATGGGTTCTGCTCCTAGTAAGATACAATTCTGAAGAAGGATGTCAGTCTGTCTCTGATTTGAATATGAATGTCTTCATCACTCTAAAGAAGTTTTGCATGGTTTTCTTGCAGGACATCTTACCAGTGTCATAGTAAGAAGATTGGTTTATGACTTGCCTATTTTCATATTATAATCCATCAGGATTATCAGCTTGTCCTTCACTTGTAGATTGGCATGGAAGCTTTTCCCATTCAGACTCTCCAGTACTGTAAGGAGGTTCACCAAATGCATGGCATTCATCTGTGCCCACCTGCACTTACAAGAAGACCAAGTCTTCCCCTGTCTTGATGATTGGATCCTTGTTGCCCCCTCAAAAGACAACCTCATGGATTTGAGGACTGCTCCACTTTTGACCTCCTGGAAAATTGGGACTGTCTGAATTGAAAAAAAATCTGTTCTGTCTTAGTCAATCCTCTGCATTGGAGCACTAATCTACTTGGCAATTGCAAGAGTCTGCCTCCTGGCTCTCAGAGCCACAATTCTGATAGACATGACCTCAAAGCTCCAAGCCAACCCCAGAGCTATGGTATGACAAGTATAGCACCTCCTCAGATTCATTCCAGTAATGGGCACAGTCGTTCCATTCACCAGGCTTTGGATGCATCTGCTCCAGCTCTAGTTTGTGCATGCCTGTTGTTGTTAGTCATGAAGTCATGTCTGACCCATCGCAACCCCATGGTCAACATTCCTCCAGGCCTTCCTGTCCTCCACCATCCCCCGGAGTCCACTTAAGCTCACACCAACTGCCTCAGTGACTCCATCTAGCCACCTCATCCTCTGCCATCCCCTTCTTTTTTTGCCATCTATTGTTCCCAGCATTAGGCTCTTCTTCACAAAGTCCTTCCTTCTCATTAGGTGGCCAAAGTATTTGAGTTTCATCTTCAGTATCTGGCCTTCTAAAGAGCAGTCAGGGTTGATCTCCTCTAGGACTGACCAGTTTGATCGCCTTGTGGTCCAAGGGACTCACAGGAGTCTCCTCCAGCACCACAATTCAAAGGCCTCAATCCTTTTGTCCCTCAAGTCTGGTCATTCATCCCAACCTGGAGCCTTTCAGTTGTTCTCCAAGCCCTAATGAAATGATCCTTTGAATTATTGGCCACCACAGACTTCAGAATTCTCTCCAGGAGGGTAGCCTTCTTCATGGCCATCATATCAGCCAGAAGGACCAGCCAACGCTCTGTGCTCTGCATTGTCCAACCATACCTCACCTTTCACAGAGACAAGGCAGTCTTGTGTCCAAACCCCTCATTCCTCTTGAAGGTCACTTCACCATTCCACCTTAACCAGGACATTGTTCTACCAGTATTTTTTGCTACACTGTCAAACCCAGTGGAATCTACCCTGCACATACTTGATGTACACTAGTATACACTTGCACTTGCATTCTACTTTTTTCAAACCCTTTTGCCATTCCCAGAGACTTTTCATTTGCTATGGTGAGAAGTCCAGAGGAAAACCTGTCAGCTCTTAATGGCATGCACACTGGGTGATTGAGACCATCACACCTGCCTACCAGATCAGTCCTCTGCTGATGACACCTTTCCACTGCCATCTCAAAGTTAAGCTCACTAGTTGCTCATATGTGTGATTCGCAGAGACCACAAAGAAGAAAGTCAGGTTGCTTACCTGTAACTGTAGTTCTCTGAGTGGTCATCTGTGCATTCACACAACCCAGTGTGGGTTGTGTGAATGCACAACCCACACTGTGAGAGCCAGTGTGGTGTGAGAGCCAGTGTGGTGTACTGGTTAAGATCATGGGACTGGGACTCAGACGATCTGGGTTCTAGTCCCTGCTCTAGTGCCTGCTCAGCCATGGAGCCAACTGGGTGACTTTGGGCCAGTCACAGACTCTCAGCCCAACCTACTTCACAGGGTTGTTGTTGTGGGGATAATATGGAGGAGGAGAATGATGTAAGCTGCCTTGAGTCCTTTGTAGAAAAAAGGCAGGATATCAATCAATCAATCAATAAAAACCCATCCTCTGGCCCCATGCTGGTGCCAATTGGCTATGATACTCTTCAGTTCCTCAACTCTGTAGCCCTTGGGTTTGAGGTCAGCTGCTTACCAGCCTCTCCTTAGTTCCAGGGCCACAATATCAGTCTCAATGGACCTGAGGTATCAGTCTCAATGGACCTTGCAGATATACTGGAGGGACAGGAGGTGAGGGGCTCCCACCAAAACGAGTTTAGCCGTCCCAACAACATTCCCCATGCAGATCAAAGCCCATCTGTATAAATGCACAGATGACCACTCAAAGAATGACAGCGACAGGTAAGCACCCTGACCTGTCACAGCAAGGGTCAGGCAAGATACCATAGGAATGGAATCACAACTAGCAGGCAAACCTGCATTGCTGAATCAAGGCAGGATACAATTGGAACCAAGTGCAGCAAGGGTCAGGCAAGGTGCAGCAGCTGAACCACAATGCAGCCAGCAAGAAGATCTATGTTGCTGAGGTAAGACAGATAGGCAGGATACAAACAGTGGGGCAGGATTTAGGTCAGGCACTACAGCAAACAGGAAGACCTGTGTTGCTGAGGGCACATGGTAAGACAGGAAACACAGTAAGAGGCAGCAAGGCTCAGGTATAGCAGAGGAGATGAACCACACCATCATCAGCAAGACCTATATTGCTGAGGTGAGACAGAGGCAGGATCTGGATGAGGCAAGATGCAGGCACTACAGTAAACATTGCAGTGAGCCCGTTCTGGAGAAAAGAGCTTGCTCTTGCATAGCTCTTCCCCCCAGGGCTCCCCATCTGGTGCTCATCTGGAGGCTGAGAGATCCAGCAGGGCCTGGGACCCATCTTGTGAATACTGAGGTGAACTTCTGGGTTCTGACCATCAGATGATGCCCAGAGCAACCCAAAACCTGACAAAGTCTTTCTCCTGCTCCACTGTGCAGCGCATTGTCTTGGGCTGGATTTTTGAGGCCAGCATATGGTAACCCAGCTTTTCTCATTCTCGCCTCCAAGAGGTGGGTCCTGGGTGCGGAAGAGGATGACAGTGACCAAAAATGTCAGGCAGTATCATCCTGCCTCCTTCAGTATTCCTGCAGTGTCTCCTGTATGTACATACTGCATTGTCTTTTGAAAGTGTGTTATGGATTTCAGTGCAAGAGATCATAAGTAAAATCTTTGACTGTAATATGTATGTATTTGTTTTAATTTAGTGGGAAGTGCAAGCTTCTAGCCATGTCCCAAAAAAATTACACTTAATGGCTTTTTCCTATATCAGGCCTTGTTGCTAAAGGGGTAGAACTTTTTTTAACCAACCGAATGATCTCCATTCTGGCAGAGGAAATTTCTTCACCCCAAACCAGTAACTGTAGGTTACACAGTCAAGACACACATACAAGAGTAAATCCAGAATAATCTCACAGAGATTTTAGCAGCTATAGGTTGCATGATGGTACCTATAGTCTATATGGGTCCAGGCACAGAAAAATCCTTGACTAATCCAAGCAGAAAAATCCAAGCCATTTGTCAGCTCCTGCCTAACAATACTGGAGATACTGTACATAGTCTATAGCAAACAAAAATGCAAGGTCTATGAAAAGCACAATGCTTTCCATGGCATGTTATTAACAATACAGTTTCAGAGAGACAGGGGTCCAAATCTGATGCAGAGTCCTTGTATAGAGTGCTTCAAGAAGCCCAGTAAGTAAATCTAAACAGAGATGATTTGGTACAATAAAAACATGTTCCTGGAAAAGGTTCCCAGTCTCAGCATCTGCTTAAAAGCAAAGGTGTTGCTGTGAGAACTCAGCCTGTGTAAAACTACTGAGATTTTAGTTCCTCAACAAGGCTCCTGCCCAAATAGTGTGATTTGTTTTACCTTCTTGATCTGACGCTTCAGCTTGTATGTTTACTGTGAATCCCCTTTCCTCCCAATATGCTCACAATAATTCTGACATTCTGCAGGCTGAATAGGCTCAACCAGCTCCTCTCCTCTTGCCATTATGTAACTAGACATTGCCAAAGCCCTAGGCTCCTGGCTTCTCACTACTGATCTTGCTTCCAAACTTCTCTGGGCCACTTCTGACCAAATTCGATCTACAGAGGCTACTGCTGTTCTGGGGCTGAGAGCCTGCTCTGCCCTATTGCTCTGAGCTCCCTTCTTGGATGCCATTTAACAACTGTAGTCATACAATTTGCACATGCAGTCCTGGATCATAGACATTGCTTTTTCCTGGACTATTTGAACAGTTCATGTTTTGTTTTTCCTATTCTTTGCAGAGCAAAAATGATCCTTATAATCAAGGAGAATATAATGTTTACAGCACTTTCCAGAGCCATGAGCCAGAGTTTGACTATTTGAAGAGTTTGGAAATAGAGGAAAAAATAAACAAGATAAAGTGGTTACCACAACAGAATGCAGCCCATTCTCTTCTGTCAACAAATGGTAAGACTGCAGGATTAATAATAATTAATGGTATAACTGCAGAGTTAAGGTTGACTAATGCTGTTTATTCTTAGCCCTCAGTAGCAAAGTCAATGAATATTTAACATACTTTTTAATTTCATAATTCACACTGAACTGGTTCAGATATAATGTATAACGAAGATTAATTTAAGCATAGTTTGATCTGCAAACCATGATTTGTCTCTGAAAGATAAAAATCTGTCTGCTATCCCAAAATGTTCAGCAGTGACAAATTCCTGGCAAATTCTCACCATATTGTTCCCATTAGCCAAAAGCAGGAGAGGGAAGCCAAATGCTCACTTTTTGTGGAGATATCAAGCTACTCTTGGCAGAATTGGGACTAAAGAATATGCCTCATGTAGCTTTTTCCTTTTGATATGAAGTCATCATCTGGATTTTAAATTAATTTTCCTCCCCACTTCCCAAAGGTTTCAATAGACAGTCCCTGCATTTCCCATTAACTTACTAAGAGTGAGCAAGCACTTGTATAGATGAACCTCTATATATTTAAATTAGAGTAGGAGTCTTAGGGCAGGAAGAATTGTTCATGGATAGAATGTTGTCCATGGGGTCGTGATGGGTTGGGCATGACTTTGCGACTAAACAATAAAAGAATGAAAGCCTGTGCTAGAATTGCTGATTTCTTGCTTTTCAAGCATTAGGCACTTGACAGAAAGATGTGTTCACTGTTTCTGCTCTAGGCCTGCAAATTTGGATACACACAGACCTAGAATTGCTATTGTTTTCTAGGGAAAAAAATCCTATCTTGTCTGATAGATTTTGTACTAGGTACAGCACATCATGACTGCAGCAGCATCTAGGGCCTGCTCAACATCTAGTTGGCTGTAGAGGGACCTGGTCCTTGATGTCAGCTGTCCAAAGGATCTCCCTATCAGCACTGTCACTCTACTGTAGTAGTGCTATAGTACAAAGAACATATTAGAGAGATAGAGTCAGCTTTGTAGGGTGTACACCTAGTCAGTTATGATGACTGGCTTCACTGGCATGCTGTTCACCAGTGGACTTGCTCCACAGTAAAAGTTACAAATGAAAGTTTAGAAGATACATGAAGGACTCCAAAGTATGGCCCTGTCATGGCCTTGACTGGATGCAGGTGTCTATGAATCAAATTGTTCCATGAATCACTTCTTCCAAAACCATACTGGGTATAGAAATTTCATGTGTGATAAATCCAAAGCCTGCATACTTGAGGAAGCCTCAGTGACAGGAACCCCACTGGTATTTCTTCGAAATGGTTGCAGTTATCATCTTCAAGAAAAAGTTAACTGATGACACAGACTGATAAAACTACATCAAACAAGTTCCTGAAAATTAGATATGATTTATTGAAGGCCAGCTTGAAAAGGGTAAGGGTGATTCTTTTCTCCACAGGGACCACATAATGCATCTCTACCTCACACTGCTGCAAGATAAGCATCATATCCTGGACAAAGAATTTAGAAGCTGACATCCAGAAGCTACAGCTGAATTGAGGATTACTCAAATTCTCAGATGTAAGAGCTGGCTATGGGCAGATATATCAGAAGTTAGGAAATGAGCCAGGGAGATAAAGTCATAAGATCAAGCATGAATCAGAGAAAGTAGCAAGCCAGAGCAGACCAGAACCAGAAAGCAAGCTGGAAGGCACCAAAGGCAGGAAAGCATGTTTGCTTAGATAATAAGCAATAGGCCTTTTGTAGTTATTTCTGCGCAGGAGAATTAGCTTGAGTGGTAGGACAGTCCAGGAACTAAGGATAACCAGGCAATGTTACACCAGGTAATCTTAGTGAGCAATATACCTCAGAAGGAGAGGCTTGCCCCCAAATTGCTTCAAAGGGACCTTTTGCTGGGGTTTGACTCATGTGGCCAGAGAAAACAAGCCCCGTTTTTGCATTCACACTACACTTAGAAAAGAAAGAAAAGTTTATCAGAAAAATATAGAGCAGGCACAAGCTTTTATTCCCATGTTGTCCAAACAGCAAATATCCCTATTACATCCCAATCTTACTCTAACATCCTGAAATTTATACTATTTCTTTCTGAAGATATGTTTAGGTTAGGCTGTTTTGCCTAATTCCTTTAAGGGGAGAAATTTCTGACCTTTTCTCTGCAAGAATCCCAGCATTTATTCTTCTTTCACATTGGCTAACCAGGATAGGGTTAGGGTTAGGGTTTCCTGACCTTCCTGTCCTTCCTGAATTCAAGTCTTCCCAACATGGCCCTAGTCTACAAGCCCATTCTGGCCCAGGAGTTTGTGGTTCTGGCGCTAATATTGATATATACACATGTTATAGCAAGTGGTGTGCCCCACAGTAGTGTGAGTTACTACATGACTATGGAAGATCATCAGTTCAAGCATTGTTAATTCCATGATCAAAAGTCAGAAATTATTTCTCTTCTGAAGGTACTTGTGTCACCAGCAGGTACTCCATAGATATACCATCAGAAACAACATGGATTTCTGAAACTGTGGCAGCAGGGTATTGAAGCTGCTGTACAGCAAGATAACTTACTTCAGTGCAAAGAACTTTGCTGTTGCACCACTCTGCTCTAGGCTAGCCCTTTAAGGGACAGGGCCCTTTACGAGTGAAGTCTTTTCTTCACTACCTCTTCCAGCATGGCTTGTGCAACCCAAACAGATACTCATGCTGCTATACTGATGGGGCCTCAACCACCTTCCTTGGAAGCCCATCCCAGGGGTTCTAACCCTCAGTAAGTACTTCCTGACATCTAACCTGAAGCCTGGTTTCTTAAGCTTTTCCCCATTGGAATGCATCCTGCCCTCCACTACAGGGAAGAACAAGTCACAGCCCTCCTCCACATGACATGCACTCACATACTTATAAGTCACCAAAAGATCCCCTTGGATTCTCCTCTTCTTCAGGCTGAAAAGACCCAGTTCCCACAATCTCTCCTCATATGTCATCCCTCCCAACCCAACTACCATTCTTGTGGCCCTATATTAGTCCAATACTAACCTAGCTATGTCTCTCCTATAATGTGGAGCCCAGAGTTGGACTCAGTACTCCAGTTGTGGGAGTATCAGAGTCGTGCAGAGTGGTATCAGCACCTCCCTAGATCTGGAAGCCATGCTTCTGGCTATGCATCCAAGGGCAGCATTTGCCTTTTTAACCGCTTCATCACACTGCTGTCTCATGTTCAGTCAGCTCTGACAAGTACCCTGAGATTCCTTTCACAAGTGCTGCTCTCCAGCCACTTGTCCCCCACCCTGTATCTGTGACACCTGTTCCTGTGTCCCAAATGCACTTATCCACATTGAATGCCATCCAGTTGTCCCCCACCCATTTCTACAGCCTGTCCAGATCCTTTGGGATATGGATTACCTGCTCCTCAGATGTGGCCACCACCCCAATTTGGTATCATCCACGAATTTAGTCAGCAGACTGATTATCTACTCCTTGAGGTCATTGATAAAGAGATTGAACAGAATTGGACCCAGAACTGAGCCCTGGGGAATTCTGCTCATCACTGACTGCCATTTTTATTATTTATTTATTTATTTATTTATTTAGTAAACTTCTATGCCGCCCCATTCGCCGAAGCCTCGGGGCAGCTTACAACAATAAATAAATACATATAATCATATAAAAACAATATAATTGGAAATGCCCTGGCCAAAGATATAAAATCAATAAATAAGCTAACAATAAAAATGCCGTTTAAATAAAAAGGTGATTCCCCACTGATAGTCACCCTCTGCTTGCAGTCAGTCAACTATGCCCTAATCCATCGGACAGTACATTGATTTATCCCAAAGCTCAACAATTTCTTGGCCAGGATATCATGTGGCACTTTGTCAAAAGCCTTGCTAAGATCCAAGTAAACCAGATCTACTGCGACCCCTCTGTCAAGCCACTTTGAAACCTTATCATAGAATTCCACAAGGTTTGTCTGGCAAGATCCATTTTCATGGAATCCGTGCTGTATTGCTGCCAACCTTCCATCCTTATCTAGGGTTTCTAGAGTTTTCCCTATTATGATCCTTTCCATCACCTGTCCCAGTATGGATGTAAGGCTTACTGGCATGTAATTCCCATATCCCCTTGCTACCATTTTTGAGACTGGAACCAATTATGCCAACCTTCCAAATGGGAACTTCTCCATTTTCCATTAGACCTCAAAAATGTAGACCAACGGAGGTGAGAGCATGCCTGCCAATTCCCAGTATCCTTGGGTGTAGCCCATCTGTGCCCAGTGACTTTGTAACATCCAGGGCCCTGTGGAGCTTCTCAGCTTCCAATGAGGTGACTGCAATCTGTGTCCCCATAACCCCAACCTCATCTAGCCCCTCCAGGTAGAACTTCCCCAACCCTCTTTGGGGAGATCACAGAAGCAAAGTAATCATTTTACATCTGTGCCTGTTCCCTTGCATCACTTACCAGATCCCTTGCCTTTCTTTTAAGTGGTCCCACCACCTGTCTCCTCTTCCTCTTCCAATTTACTTGGTAGAAGTCCTTTCGTTGTTCTTGACATTCTTCACAAGTTTCAGCTCATAATCAGCTTTAGCCTTGCACAGAATCCTTCTGCAACATGCTGCCTCTTTCTTTTGTCCACTTGCCCCAGTGTCCATTTCCTGGGAAGGTCCCTCTTCCTTATAATCACTCTCTTCGCATCCATGGTGGTACCCTCCTATGCCTCCCTTCTTTGATAATCAGTGGTATCGTTAAGACTTGTGCCTCCAAGACCCTAACCCATCCACCCCTCCTGAACAGTACCCTCTCCCAGGAGCTTTCCCCCAGTCTGCCCTTGAATTGAGTGGCCCTCAAGAAGCCCCAGCTTCTACCACTTGACCTACTAGAAGCTGGGACAGCTTTCCCTGATCTCAAAACATAGGATGGAGTGGTAACTCACATCCAGAGCTTCCTAATCTGCTCATCACCAGATCCTCCCTGTTGGTCAGAACCAAATCTAAGATGTTTCCCTCCCTTGTTGCCTCTCAGAGCCTCTGCGTGAAAAAC